CTAACACCATCACCACCCCTAACACCATCACCACCCCTAACACCGTCACCACCCCTAATACCGTCACCACCCCTAACACCGTCACCACCCCTAACACCATCACCACCCCTAACACCATCACCACCCCTAACACCGTCACCACCCCTAACACCGTCACCACCCCTAATACCGTCACCAGCCCTAACACCGTCACCACCCCTAACACCGTCACCACCCCTAACACCGTCACCACCCCTAACACCATCACCACCCCTAACATCACCAACCCTAACACCATCACCACCCCTAACACCGTCACCACCCCTAACACCATCACCACCCCTAACACCGTCGCCACCCCTAACACCATCACCACCCCTAACACTATCAACACCCCTAAGACCATCACTACCCCTAACACCATCACCACCCCTAACACCATCACCACCCCTAACACCATCACCACCCCTAACACCATCACCACCCCTAACACCATCACCACCCCTAACACCATCACCACCCCTAACACCATCACCACCCCTAACACCATCACCACCCCTAACACCATCACCACCCCTAACACCGTCACCACCCGTAACACCGTCACCACCCGTAACACCATCACCACCCCTAACACCGTCACCACCACTAACACCATCACCACCCCTAACACCGTCACCACCCCTAACACCGTCACCACCCCAAACACCATCACCACCCCTAACACCGTCGCCACCCGTAACACCGTCACCACCCCTAACACCGTCACCACCCCTAACACCGTCACCACCCCTAACACCGTCACCACCCCTAACACCATCACCACCCCTAACACCGTCACCACCCGTAACACCATCACCACCCCTAACACCATCACCACCCCTAACACCGTCGCCACCCCTAACACCATCACCACCCCTAACACCATCACCACCCCTAACACCGTCACCACCCCTAACACCATCACTACCCCTAACACCATCACCACCCCTAACACCGTCACCACCCCTAACACCGTCACCACCATCACTACCCCTAACACCGTCACCACCCCTAAGACCATCACTACCCCTAACACCATCACCACCCCTAACACCGTCACCACCCCTAACACCGTCACCACCCCCAAACATCATCACCACCCCTAACACCGTCACCACCCCTAACATCGTCACCACCCCTAACACCGTCACCACCCCTAAGACCATCACTACCCCTAACACCATCAACACCCCTAAGACCATCACTACCCCTAACACCATCACCACCCCTAACACCGTCGCCACCCCTAACACCATCACCACCCCTAACACCATCACCACCCCTAACACCATCACCACCCCTAACACCGTCACCACCCCTAACACCGTCACCACCCCAAACACCATCACCACCCCTAACACCGTCACCACCCCTAATACCGTCACCACCCCTAACACCATCACCACCCCTAACACCGTCACCACCCCTAACACCGTTACCACCCCTAACACCATCACCACCCCTAACACCATCACCACCCCTAACACCATCACCACCCCTAACACCGTCACCACCCCTAACACCATCACCACCCCTAACACCGTCACCACCCCTAACACCGTCACCACCCCTAACACCGTCACCACCCCTAACACCATCACCACCCCAAATACCGTCACCACCCCTAACACCATCACCACCCCAAATACCGTTACCACGCCAAACACCGTCACCACCCCTAACACCGTCACCACCCCTAACACCGTCACCACCCCTAACACCGTCACCACCCCTAACACCGTCACCACCCCAAACACCGTCACCACGCCAAACACCGTCACCACCCCTAACACCGTCACCACCCGTAACACCATCACCACCCCTAACACCATCACCACCCCTAACACCGTCACCACCCCTAACACCGTCACCACCCGTAACACCATCACCACCCCTAACACCGTCACCACCCCTAACACCATCACCACCCCTAACACCATCACCACCCCTAACACCGTCACCACCCCTAACATCATCACCACCCCTAACACCATCACCACCCCGAACACCGTCACCACCCCTAACACCATCACCACCCCTAACATCACCAACCCTAACACCATCACCACCCCTAACACCGTCACCACCCCTAACACCATCACCACCCCTAATACCGTCACCGCCCCTTACACCATCACCACCCCTAACACCGTCACCACCCCTAACACCGTCACCACCCCTAACACCATCACCACCCCTAACACCATCACCACCCCTAACACCGTCGCCACCCCTAACACCATCACCACCCCTAACACCATCACCACCCCTAACACCGTCGCCACCCCTAACACCATCACCACCCCTAACACCGTCACCACCCCTAACACCGTCACCACCCCTAACACCGTCACCACCCCTAACACCGTCACCACCCCAAACACCGTCACCACCCCTAACAACGTCACCACCCCTAACACCGTCACCACCCCTAACACCATCACCACCATCACTACCCCTAACACCATCACCACCCCTAACACCATCACCACCCCTAACACCATCACTACCCCTAACACCATCACTACCCCTAACACCATCACCACCCCTAACACCATCACCACCCCTAACACCATCACCACCCCTAACACCATCACCACCCCTAACACCATCACAACCCCTAACACCATCACCACCCCTAACACCGTCACCACCCGTAACACCATCACCACCCCTAACACCGTCACCACCCCAAACACCGTCACCACCCCTAACACCGTCACCACCCCTAACACCGTCACCACCCCTAACACCATCACCACCCCTAACACCGTCACCACCCCTAACACTGTCACCACCCCTAACACCATCACCACCCCTAACACCATCACCAACCCCTAACACCGTCGCACCCCTAACACCATCACCACCCCTAACACCGTCACCACCCGTAACACCATCACTACCCCTAACACCATCACCACCCCTAACACCGTCACCACCCCAAACACCATCACCACCCCTAACACCGTCACCCCCCCTAATACCGTCACCACCCCTAACACCGTCACCACCCCTAACACCATCACCACCCCTAACACCATCACCACCCCTAACACCGTCACCACCCCTAACACCGTCACCACCCCTAACACCATCACCACCCCTAACACCGTCACCACCCCAAACACCATCACCACCCCTAACACCGTCACCAACCCTAACACCGTCACCACCCCTAACACCATCACCACCCCTAACACCGTCACCACCCCTAACACCATCACCACCCCTAACACCGTCACCACCCCTAACACCGTCACCACCCCTAACACCATCACCACCCCTAACACCGTCACCACCCCTAACACCATCACCACCCCTAACACCATCACCACCCCTAACACCGTCACCACCCGTAACACCATCACCACCCCTAACACCATCACCACCCCTAACACCATCACCACCCCTAACACCATCACTACCCCTAACACCATCACCACCCCTAACACCGTCACCACCCCTAACACTGTCACCACCCCTAACACCATCACCACCATCACTACCCCTAACACCATCACCACCCCTAACACCGTCGCCACCCCTACCACCGTCACCACCCCTAACACCATCACCACCCCTAACACCATCACCACCCCTAACACCATCACCACCCCTAACACCGTCACCACCCCTAACACCGTCACCACCCCTAACACCGTCGCCACCCCTAACACCGTCGCCACCCCTAACACCGTCACCACCCCTAACACCGTCACCACCCCTAACACCATCACCACCCCTAACACCGTCACCACCCGTAACACCATCACCACCCCTAACACCGTCACCACCCCAAACACCGTCACCACCCCTAACACCATCACCACCCCTAACACCGTCACCACCCCTAACACCATCACCACCCCTAACACCGTCACCACCCCTAACACCATCACCACCCCTAACACCGTCACCACCCCTAACACCATCACCACCCCTAACACCGTCGCCACCCCTAACACCATCACCACCCCTAACACCGTCACCACCCGTAACACCATCACTACCCCTAACACCATCACCACCCCTAATACCGTCACCACCCCAAACACCATCACCACCCCTAACACCGTCACCCCCCTAATACCGTCACCACCCCTAACACCGTCACCACCCCTAACACCGTCACCACCCCTAACACCATCACCACCCCTAACACCGTCACCACCCCTAACACCGTCACCACCCCTAACACCGTCGCCACCCCTAACACCGTCGCCACCCCTAACACCGTCGCCACCCCTAACACCGTCACCACCCCTAACACCATCACCACCTCTAACACCGTCACCACCCCTAACACCGTCACCACCCCTAACACCGTCGCCACCCCTAACACCGTCGCCACCCCTAACACCGTCGCCACCCCTAACACCGTCACCACCCCTAACACCATCACCACCTCTAACACCGTCACCACCCCTAACACCGTCACCACCCCTAACACCGTCACCACCCCTAACACCATCACCACCCCTAACACCATCACCACCCCTAACACCATCACCACCCCTAACACCATCACAACCCCTAACACAATCACCACCCCTAACACCGTCACCACCCCTAACACCATCACCACCCCTAACACCATCACCACCCCTAACACCGTCACCACCCGTAACACCGTCGCCACCCCTAACACCATCACCACCCCTAACACCGTCACCACCCGTAACACCATCACTACCCCTAACACCGTCACCACCCCTAACACCGTCACCACCCCAAACACCATCACCACCCCTAACACCGTCACCACCCCTAATACCGTCACCACCCCTAACACCGTCACCACCCCTAACACCATCACCACCCCTAACACCGTCACCACCCCTAACACCGTCACCACCCCTAACACTGTCAACACCCCTAACACCATCACCACCCCTAACACCATCACCACCCCTAACACCGTCACCACCCCTAACACAATCACTACCCCTAACACCGTCACCACCCCTAACACCGTTACCACCCCTAACACCATCACCACCCCTAACACCATCACCACCCCTAACACCGTCACTACCCCTAACACCCTCACCACCCCTAACACCGTCGCCACCCCTAACACCGTCGCTACCGTAACACCACCGCTACCCATGTGTGTACGTGTGGGCGTGTGTGCGTTGGCTGGGTCACACATCCCGCGTGCCCATCCACCACATTCCCAGCCACCGCAGGCCCAAGCAGCCAAATGGGCGCGGCATGCACCGGAGAAGAGATGGGCTGATGCGGTGCCTGAGGTTGTGGAGGGGTGTGGAAAAACATTTGTGCTGGGGAAACAAAGGCAGCAGGGTGTATCGTTTGTGCGTGTGTCTGTATTGGCATAGTGCTTGCCACGCACCCCATCGTGTGCCGTGCCGGTCTTCATAGGTCCTGCTCGCTAACAGCACTGGCACCAACAGTCTGTTTTGGCTATCCAGGGGATCTTTCTTTTGTTGATTGCGTGTGAATGTGTGTGTAAGTGTAGGGGAGAGGTAGTGTCGTGGTTAGTGCGCTGCACTTCGAACCCGGCGACCGAGTTAGATTCTCGCTCATGGCTGACACCAGTGACGATCATCTGAACCATTCTGGGCCTCCCCAAGGGCTACTCAGCCTCAAATGAGTACCTGATGCGGTGTATAAACATCGCCACTGGGAAGACGAAGGCGGTGAGGCGTAGTGCTGGAAAACCACCCCCTCGTGTGCTGTGCCGGCCTTCATCAGTACCGCTCGCTAACAGCACTTGCCCCGACGGTCTGTTCAGGCTATGCGAGGGATCTTTGTCTTTGCATGCTGCTCACGATGGCTCCGTCTCGCGGGTATCGCAATCTGGCACGTGGCTGGCTGTGCGTGCGTGTGGGTGCCACGTGCGTGCCACGTGTGTGCCACGTGTGGTGGCGCTTGCCACGTGCAGATCCGCCAGTATCTGGTCTCCATGACGGCAAAGGACGTGTCGGTGATGATCGCGGTGGCGCCCAGCAGGCCGGCACACGGGCAAGTACGGGGGTGGGGGTGGTGTTGAATGGTGGTGATGATGATGATGGTGGTGGTGGTGATAATCATGGCGATATTGGTGGTGGTGGTGATGATGATGGTGATAATGGTGGTGGTGGTGATAATCAATGGTGGAGCCAGGGTTTTCAGGTAGGAGGGGCAACCCCTCCAGCAATGAAAAATGATAGAGGAGTTGTTAGTAAGGAAGGACTTGTCCCTTGCTTTTTATTTGACGTGTGTGCGGTGATGGCGCAGCCATTGATCGCGGGTCGAATTCAAATCGTGTTTTCGGCATCGCGCTCGCCTTCAGGGAAGTCGTGTACTGTATACGCAACTGCGCACAATTCTGTGAGTCACTTATAACTGCTTTGCCATTACTTATTGCCAATTATGGCAGACTATTCATCTCATAGAGTCCCTGGCATGTAATAATATGCTACACAGTGGCAGTGGGAGTCGCAAAATGCCGATTTATTACTAATAAACCCCAATGATTCCCACCACCATCCATCCCAGAAGAACTCCCTCATCAAGACTCCATAGAGCCCAATGCATCTCCGACCAGGAACACATTGCCAGTGAACTCAAACACGTACACCAAGCTCTTAAGGCTAATGGTTACTCCGACTACACAATCCGTAAAGCCATCACCCCAACCATCAAGAAGGATCCTGTTGAGGAGCCTTTCAAAACCATCACCTTACCCTACATTGCTGGGGTCACAAAACAGATCTCCAAAATTATGATTAAACACAAGATCCAGGTCCGATTCAACACAGTACATAAAATCCGTGATCTGGTCCCGTCTGTAAAAGATGTGGTTCCAGACATACAGTACCCTGGCGTCTACAAACTAAGTTGCCTCTGTGGTAGCAGTTACATTGGAGAAACCAAACGACATGTCTCGGACCGCATCCGTGAACATAAAGCAGACCTGAAACACGGTAGGACAAACACCTCAGCCGTAGCAAATCACTGTTACAATTTAGTGGGCTCACATGACATTGACTTCTCCAAGACAGAGGTTCTCTGCAAGCCATCTGGCTACCATGAGAGATTCGTTCATGAGGCGAACCACATATACAAACACAGAGATAATTTCAACCGAGAAGATGGATTCTGGCTCAGCAATCATTGGAAGGACGTAATAAACCATTTCAGATCTTAACTGATTGTTGTTCACGTTTACGGTGACTTTCAGACCGCAATCCACTCACTGGCATTAACTGTGTATCTTGTGTTCTCCACAGGGAATGCATTATTTGCTCTGCTGTGGGTCTCCTGCCACCGCTCTCCCATTCACATGTTTCATTGCTTCTACATACTATTAACATTCCCTCCCTTTGCTAATGCTACCCCCTGCCCCCTCCCTTTGGTGCTGCTGATTCTGCATAATGCATGGGCATAATATGACTTTGAAACCCCCCCCCCCGCCCACCTCCTACGCATTTCCCATGAATATGCTAAAATGTTCTTGATATGCACATTCTTTTGTTAAGGCGCTCTTCTTCCACCTCCAACTCAGCTTATATATAAGCTCCTAGCTTGGCAGTGTTTCATTCTTCACCTGAAGACGGATGCTTGCGTTGTAGCCGAAACGTCGTGAGAATTATTATATTATGTTTTATTTTTATTATTTTATTACTTCCCTTCTACGTGACTTTACCGAAAAAACCAAGAAGAAGATTTGATGATATTGTTGGTGATGATGATACTGCTGGTGGTGGTGGGTTTTGGTGATGATCCTGTGATGCTGTGTGGTGGTGATGCTGCTAATGATGATGAATTCTATAACAACGCTGCTGATGATGAATTGTATAACAAGGCTGATGATGATGATGATGAATTATATAACAAAGCTGCTGATGATGATGATGAATTCTATAACAATGCTGCTGATGATGATGAATTCTGTGACAGATGATGATGATGAATTCTATAACAAAGCTGATGATGAATTCTATAAAAATGCTGCTAATGATGATGATGAATTCTATAACAACGCTGCTGATGATGATGAATTCTATAACAATGCTGCTGATGATGATTAATTATATGACAAAGCTTCTGCTGATGATAATGAATTCTATAACAACGCTGCCGCTGATGATGAATTCTATAACAACGCTGCTGCTGATGATGAATTCTATAACGCTGCTGATGATGAATTCTATAACGCTGCTGATGATGATCAATTATATAACAAAGCTGCTGCTGATGATGAATTCTATGACAACATTGCCGCTGATGCCACTAAGACCCCCTCCACTGCTCTGCCTCCGCACCCCCACCCCCAAATCGCAACAACTCAGCCCCCCGGACGAAGCAGCGGATGAGCTCCCCCCCACATACGTGGGCGCCGGCGCGGGCGCCTTCCCCCTGCGCTTCTCCGTCTCCGTGCTCGACCTGGACCCCAAGCCCATGGACAAGATCCCACACCACCACCAGCAACACTGCCTCATCCTGCGCAGCTACCTGATGGCGCACATGGGGTTGGCACCGGTGGGAGGCGTGGGCTTGTTGGCGCCGGTGACCACGCCACACATCGGCGTGGAGGAGGAGGAGGAGGAAGAAGAAGAAGAGGAGAAGGAGGAAGAGGAGGAGGAGGAGGAAGAGGAAGAGCGGCGAACTCCGGATACCGAATCCGGCTCCCCGGCGTCGTGGTCGATGCCGGTGACGTCGCCGCAATCGCCGGCACCACTGGGCCGGCCGTCGCCGCTGGCGCTGTGCGCCACGCTGAGGTCGTAGGGGTAGGGGCGGCGTGGCGCTGAGCGTCCCGCCGGCCGCTCCGTACGGAGCCTACCGTGACCGTAGAGCTACCCCGCGCCGCCTCCACACTTCACACGCATGCACACGTACGCACACACACGCACACACACGCACACACACGCACACGTACGCACACACATGCACGCACACGTATGCACACACACGGACACACACCGTGAGGTTGGTGGGGCAAACGAGGCAGTGGTGGGGGGGGGTTTTCACACCACACGCACACACGCTCCTGCACGCATGCACCCGCATGCGCTTAAATGGGTGACTGCCGTGCGTCGTAACAGTTGGAACAGGTCACGCTACAGACAGTACCACTTATGGCAGAATCTGGGTGCGGTGCTTCTGTGCGCTTGCGACCGCTCCCTGCCTTCACCGTCGCACCGTCGCCAAATTCAGCGCTGACCGGCATGTCGACTTTCACCCCCAGACCTACGCGATCGCCCCACGCTCGTCTGCGGTACCAAACCCTCAGCGAAGGGGGTCCATTGCATTTCCTGGAGCGGATCGCCTGCTGAGCGTGCGCCCAGCCTGTCGGTCCTGCCGTGCCTACTTTTTCCACTGCCATGCCAGCGCAGCTCGCGAGGCGCCAGGTTCCCCCCCTCCCCCCTCTCTCCTGTGTGTGGGCCGGAGGTCGTTGCTTGAAAAAGAAGTGATCTCAGAGGTAGCTCTGTGATATCCGCTTCAGCGTAGCCTGTTCTGAGTGGACCAGAGGTCTATTGAAGAAGGGATCTCAGAGGTAGCTCTGTGATATCCGCTTTCACGAGGCCGTTCTCAACGCTGATCATTCGACTCCTCTTGAAACTCTGCGCTGTGGGCATCTTCCCCCACGCTGGGAGTGGTATCCATATTTAAGTTGTTTCGTTGCTGTAATTAAGGACTGTATTTATTCACGTCGAGGGGCTAAGGAGAGAGTCCCGAATACTGGTCTACACAGCAGTCGTCACCACCTGCTGCGTTCAGAAGCATCAGCGCGAGCTGCTGTAGAAGCTGTAGCCAAAAGCAAGAAGAGCAGCAGTAGAAGAAACAGCAATATGATGAGAATCGCTCTCATCCACTGCAGCAATACCATCAGCAGCAGTGTTCGTAGCAGCAGAAATCTCATCAGCAGCAGCTGTTGCAGACCGCATGCATTGTTACGCAACAGAGCAGCGGCGGGGGTGGGGGGTTACACAACGCGCCCGTGCGCAATAACAAACAATCAAAACAACACGGGCACACACACACATGTGCTGAGTTGGCATGAGCTCTTCCCGTGTTAGCCGCCACCGCCGCCGCCGTCGGTTGCATGAATGCAGCAGCTGTGAACGCCACAGCCAGTCGCTCGCCCCGCTGTTTGTTACGCGCGACTTCCATCAACACCACTACCACCACCACCACCTCTTACTTCACCATCACCTCCACCATCACCACTGCCATGACCACTACCTCTACCATCACTACCAACAGCAACCTTTTGCCACTAAGTGGTGGTGACGTCACCATGGCACTTGTGCCAGGCTAGGTGCCCTTTGATGCCACGTGAGGTGTCGAAGGCGCGCTGGCAGGAGGTCATGAGACAGACCCAGGTGCCATAGGTTGACTGAGAAAACTGGCTGATGCACCACCTGTGCTCCCTACTGTGCCAACTTGCTGTGTTTTAGCCGCCCGGCGCTCCACTCATTGTTGTGAGCGTCGCTCCTCCGCCCTCCGTTGTTGCTGGAGGGCGACTGCCTCCAACTGCCCAGTAGCAGCGTCCTTCACGAGCCTCCTCTACAGATGCCGATTTGTACACCGCCGGTACCGTTCATTGGCAAGTCCACTCAGCTCCACGTCCTCCTGTGCCGCATCAGCCCATCTCTTCTCCAGTCGGTGCCATTCACGTTTTAAGCCCCCTCTATCCGGCCAAACAGAAGCCGCTTGTGCATGCGGTGGCTGGGCATGCGGGTTACATGGCCACGCCAACGCAGCCTTGCCTGCTGGACGAGCTCACTGATGGGAATGTGTCCACATCTTTCAAGGATTCGTGAGCTCCTCACACAATCCAGTCGGGTTAAACCCAGGGTTGATCTTAGGCAGGTCAGCCTGAAGGTTTTCAAACTTGCCCACATGTTCCATTAGAGGGGTCCACGTTTTGCAAGCATAGAGGGGGGAGCATGACTGTTGCCGAGAAGACCCGAAGCTTCGTGTGGACCAACAGGCCAGGTAGCTCCACACAGCGTTACGCTGTTTATGAAACGATAATGCTGCACGATTGATTAGGAGTGAGACCCCCACTGCCAAACCTTACCTGGTCATAAGCACACTGCCCAGGTACGGAAACGTCTCCACTCCTGCAACCACCACCAACACGACAGCCATCACCAATTACACGTGCACTTCTGTTCGAGTTTTAAGTGCAGTGTCTGCGGTGATTAGAGGTGATGCCGATTGCAGTGGGAGTAGTAGTTATAGCGGCGGCATTGCGAGTGGTTGGTAGTGGTGGTGGTGATGGAGTTACTACAACTGCCGTGTCGGCTCTTGTGCCCTGGACTCTCCAATTCGCCAAGACGCCGGAATCGTTTGGGGACGAGCGTCTCCGATATAAATCTCCGCCAGCCCTGCCCCCCAGGCTACACTTGGAGCTGCCCTGGGCCTGCGTTTAGGGCCAGGGGCCCCCCAGCCGTGCCCCGGTTGACCACGTGGTAATTTGGGGTTGTTCATCAGGAACAATGCTAAATTATTTGTCCGGGAAAACCTTTGCCGAGTCTCTGGACTCGCCGTGTAGGGAAAGCTCCTTGCTCCGTTGAGATTTTTGCTTTCGTGAATCTTTTTTTTTCGTGAATTTACTCAACAGACCGAGAGCCACAGCCCTGATCTCCCCCCACCACCAGACACCCTTAAGCCGGTTTAACCCGTTCGCGGGCAGCCCTGACCCCCCCTCCTCCCCCCACCTGGTTTAGCCTCCTGTGAGGAGGTGAGGGTTCGAGTCGCACGTTAGGGATGTGGCTCGGAGGGCCTCGCTGATCTGTGCATAAACCACGTTGCCTCCTCATTGAAGTATGCACACGCGCGTGCGTGCATGCGTCTATGCGTGCGTGCATATGTGCGCGTGTATGCGTGCATGTGTGTGTGCGCATGTGTGTGTGTAAACTAACTTTAGCCATGACATTTGAGCTCTGTTAAGCTTAGGGTTAAGAGCTTTGCACACTCAAACAGGGGTGTGGACTCGCTAGTGTGTAAGCTCACCTCGCCGGTGAGCTTGTGTGCACGCGATCTCGTCTGTAGGCTCACGACTGTGTGCGCGCTAATGTGTACAGCTGCTGGTGTGTGTGCGCGTGCTCTGTGGTGTGTGACCTCACTGATGTGCGCCACACTCTTGTGGAAGGTCAATAGCGTGCAAGCACACAAGTAATGAGTGCGGTGAGTGTGCGGGTTGACGCGTCTCCGTAGCAGTGTTACTCAGCCGCCCCTTCCTTCCCCACGTGCGGATTCATCTTGGCCCACCGCACGCTGGCTACGTGCGATTCAGATCTCCACGTGGACACCACGACGTCACGCGTTGCGATGTGCACACATGACGTACACGTCACGTGCGCCAAGAGCTGCGTGCATTGCACGTGACGAACGCGATTGCAGGTGGACCTGGATCGACCGATGTCACGTCAGCGTGATGTACGTGATGCGTACTATGCTGATGTGTCCACAGAGGGGGGGGGGGGGGGGTGCCCCCTCCCCAATGCCTTCAAATTAAACCGGAAGTATTAAGTCTGACACTGACGTCCATGCACGGACCCCCTCGCCCCCTCCCGCCCCCCAACCGCGGGGCCCGGGGCTGTCGCTCCGATTCGCCGTACCCCTCGGGACGGCTTTGGCACGCGGGTGGCTGTGGTGCTGCACAGGTTGTGAGCACTGCGTGCGGGGGGCGGCCTGGCCCGTTGTGTGTGCGCGTGGCTGGGTAGGGCCACTGACATTGATCCCCTGACACGGGCGCCACGAGATTCTTTCCAAATTTAACAGCTGCACGTTTGAACGTCGAGCGGGTCCGTGTTTGTGCGTGGTTGTCTCTGTGTGTGTTACGTGCGGGTGGCGGTGGCGCAGTGGTTAGCGCGCTGCGCTCCGAAACCCGACAGAGACCCTTGTTGGATTCCCGCTCACGGCCAACTGCGGCGATGATGATCTTCAACCGGTCCTGGGCCCTCCCCTAGGTCGACTCGGCCTTAATGTGTTATCTGTTGCGGTGTTGAAAAGCATCAGCACTGGGGAGACAAAGGCGGCCGGGCGTGGTTCTAGCCACCCACCCCCTCGTGTGTCGTGCCGGCTTTCATAGGAGCTGCTCGCTAACGGCACTTGCCCCGACAGTCTGTTAAGGCTACACAGGGGTGCGAGGGGGGGACTTTGTCTTGTCTGTATGCTGGTGTGAGTGGGGTGTACACGTGTGTGAGTGGGGTGTACACGTGTGTGAGTGTGAGTGGGGTGTACACGTGTGTACGAGTGTTTTTGTACGCGGAGGCGACAGTCTCCATGAGGCTCGGTGATGGGGATCACGGGGGATCAAGTGCTGGAAGACGGAAGGACGGATCGAGCTGGGGGGGGGGGGATGGGTGGGGGTTAGAGGGGGGAGGGTGAGGATAGAGTGGGGGGGGTGGTGTGAGTTGGGAGAGGGTTAGGATAGAGTGGGGGGGGGTGTGAGTTGGGAGAGGGTTAGGATAAAGGTGGGGGATGGTGTGAGAGGGTTAGGGCTGAGGATGTAGGAATTGGAGCAGCAATAGGATGTGATGGGTTGAATAGAGGGCTTGGGGAGTTGAAGGGAGCAAGGCAGGGAGGAGGATGGAATAGATGTGTCGCGATAGAAGATGGAGGCAGGGAGGAGAATAAGGGACGCAGAATGGGGGGGGGGGGGGGGCGCGGATTGAGCGATTTAATGGATGGGGGAGGGTGGATTGTAAGCGGTTAGCTATTTGAGTGGGGAGTGGATTGTGAGTGAGTGGTGCGAGGGGCTGGCTGTGAGCAGCTGCTGTGCTGCACGCTGCCGCCGCCTTCGCCACTATCGCGTGGTTTTTCTATGAGATTTGTACTCCGTGGAGCTCAATAAAAAACTGAACTCGATGAGTTGGCTCCGCACACGCGCTCCTTTGCTGGGTGGTGAGGAGCCTGGTGGTGGGGTGTGAGTGGGCTGCATGTGATCAAGGTTGTGTGTGCTGGGCAGGTGGAGGCAGTCGCCCTCCCGCGATAAACGGAGGGCAGAGGAGCGACGCTCACAACAATGAACGGAGTGCCGGGCGCATAAAATGCAGCAAGTTGGCAACAATAGGGGATGCAGTTGGTGTGCATCTACCGGTCATCTCAGAGTCAGCCAACCCATGGCACCTGAGTTTGTCCCGAGACCTGTCAGCGAGCCGTCGACACTTAACGTGGCCTCAAAGTGCACCTGGCCTGGCACAGGCGCCGTGGTAACATCACCCTCACTTGGTGGTGAATGGCGGGGTGTTTGTGTTGTGTAACTCAATTGGTGGTGAATGCCGGGGTGTTTGTGTGTGTAACTCACTTGGTGGTGAATGGCGGGGTGTTTGTGAGTGTAACTCACTTGGTGGTGAATGGCGGAGTGTTTGTGTGTGTAACTCACTTGGTGGTGAATGGCGGGGTTTTTGTGTGTGTAACTCACTTGGCGGTGAATGGCGGGGTGTTTGTGTGTGTAACTCACTTGGTAATGAATGGTGGCGTGTTTGTGTGTGTAACTCACTTGGCGGTGAATGGCGGAGTGTTTGTGTGTGTAACTCACTTGGCGGTGAATGGCGGGGTGTTTGTGTGTGTAACTCACTTAGTAATGAATGGCGGCGTGTTTGTGTGTGTAACTCACTTGGCGGTGAATGGCGGAGTGTTTGTGTGTGTAACTCACTTGGCGGTGAATGGCGGAGTGTTTGTGAGTGTAACTCACTTGGCGGTGAATGGCGGGGTGTGTGTGTGTGTAACTCACTTGGTGGTGAATGGCGGCGTGTTTGTGAGTGTAACTCACTTGGCGGTGAATGGCGGGGTGTTTGTGTGTGTAACTCACTTGGCGGTGAATGGCGGGGTGTTTGGGTGTGTAACTCACCTGGTGGTGAATGGCGGGGTGTTTGTGTGTGTAACTCACTTGGCGGTGAATGGCGCGGTGTTTGTGTGTGTAACTCACCTGGTGGTGAATGGCGGGGTGTTTGTGTGTGTAACTCACTTGGCGGTGAATGGCGGGGTGTGTGTGTGTGTAACTCACTTGGTGGTGAATGGTGGGGTGTTTGTGTGTGTAACTCACTTGGCGGTGAATGGCGGGGTGTTTGTGTGTGTAACTCACTTGGCGGTGAATGGCGGGGTGTTTGTGTGTGTAACTCACTTGGCGGTGAATGGCGGGGTGTTTGTGTGTGTAACTCACTTGGCGGTGAATGGCGGGGTGTTTGTGTGTGTAACTCACTTGGCGGTGAATGGCGGGGTGTTTGTGTGTGTAACTCACTTGGCGGTGAATGGCGGAGTGTTTGTGTGTGTAACTCACTTGGCGGTGAATGGCGGGGTGTTTGTGTGTGTAACTCACTTGGCGGTGAATGGCGGGGTGTTTGTGTGTGTAACTCACTTGGCGGTGAATGGCGGGGTGTTTGTGTGTGTAACTCACTTGGCGGTGAATGGCGGGGTGTTTGTGTGTGTAACTCACTTGGTGGTGAATGGCGGGGTGTTTGTGTGTGTAACTCACTTGGTGGTGAATGGCGGGGTGTCTGTGTGTGTAACTCACTTGGTGGTGAATGGCGGGGTGTTTGTGTGTGTAACTCACTTGGCGGTGAATGGCGGGGTGTTTGTGTGTGTAACTCACTTGGTGGTGAATGGCGGGGTGTTTGTGTGTGTAACTCACTTGGTGGTGAATGGCGGGGTGTTTGTGTGTGTAACTCACTTGGCGGTGAATGGCGGGGTGTTTGTGTGTGTAACTCACTTGGCGGTGAATGGCGGGGTGTCTGTGTGTGTAACTCACTTGGTGGTGAATGGCGGGGTGTTTGTGTGTGTAACTCACTTGGCGGTGAATGGCGGGGTGTTTGTGTGTGTAACTCACTTGGTGGTGAATGGCGGGGTGTCTGTGTGTGTAACTCACTTGGCGGTGAATGGCGGGGTGTTTGTGTGTGTAACTCACTTGGTGGTGAATGGCGGGGTGTCTGTGTGTGTAACTCACTTGGCGGTGAATGGCAGGGTGTTTGTGAGTCTAACTCACTTGGTGGTGAATGGCGGGGTGTTTGTGAGTGTAACTCACCTGGTGGTGAATGGCGAAGTGTTTGTTTTACTCACTTGGCGGTGAATGGCGGGGTGTTTGTGAGTGTAACTCACTTGGTGGTGAATGGCGGAGTGTTTTTGCGTGTAACTCACTTGGCGGTGAATGGCGGGGTGTTTGTGTGTGTAACTCACTTGGTGGTGAATGGCGGGGTGTTTGTGTGTGTAACTCACTTGGTGGTGAATGGCGGGGTGTTTGTGTGTGTAACTCACTTGGTGGTGAATGGCGGGGTGTTTGTGAGTGTAACTCACTTGGTGGTGAATGGCGGGGTGTTTGTGTGTGTAACTCACTTGGTGGTGAATGGCGGGGTGTTTGTGTGTGTAACTCACTTGGTGGTGAGTGGCGGGGTGTGTGTGTGTGTAACTCACTTGGTGGTGAATGGCGGGGTGTTTGTGAGTGTAACTCACTTGGTGGTGAGTGGCGGGGTGTGTGTGTGTGTAACTCACTTGGTGGTGAATGGCGGGGTGTTTGTGTGTGTAACTCACTTGGTGGTGAATGGCGGGGTGTTTGTGTGTGTAACTCACTTGGTAATGAATGGCGGCGTGTTTGTGTTTTGTAACTCACTTGGTGGTGAATGGCGGGGTGTTTGTGTGCGTAACTCACTTGGTGGTGAATTGCGGGGTGTTTGTGTGTGTAACTCACTTGGTAATGAATGGCGGGGTGTTTGTGTTGTGTAACTCACTTGGTAATGAATGGCGGGGTGTTTGTGTTGTGTAACTCACTTGGTAATGAATGGCGGGGTGTTTGTGTGCGTAACTCACTTGGTGGTGAATGGCGGGGTGTTTGTGCGTGTAACTCACTTGGTGGTGAATGGCGGGGTGTTTGTGCGTGTAACTCACTTGGTGGTGAATGGCGGGGTGTTTGTGCGTGTAACTCACTTGGTGGTGAATGGCGGGGTGTGTGTGTGTGTAACTCACTTGGTGGTGAATGGCGGGGTGTTTGTGCGTGTAACTCACTTGGTGGTGAATGGCGGAGTGTGTGTGTGTGTGTGTGTTACTCACTTGGTGGTGAATGGCGGGGTGTTTGTGCGTGTAACTCACTTGGTGAGTGGCGGGGTGTTTGTGAGTGTAACTCACTTGGTGGTGAATGGCGGGGTGTTTGTGAGTGTAACTCACTTGGTGGTGAATGACGGGGTGTTTGTGAGTGTAACTCACTTGGTGGTGAATGGCGGGGTATTTGTGAGTGTAACTCACTTGGTGGTGAGTGGCGGGGTGTTTGTGTATGTAACTCACCTGGTGGTGAATGGCGGGGTGTTTGTGTGTGTAAGTCACTTGGCGGTGAGTGGCGGGGTGTGTGTGTGTGTGTAACTCACTTGGCGGTGAGTGGCGGGGTGTTTGTGCGTGTAACTCACTTGGTGGTGAATGGCGGAGTGTTTGTGTGTGTAACTCACTTGGTCGTAAAGGGCGGGGTGTTTGTGTGTGTAACTCACTTGGTGGTGAATGGCGGGGTGTTTGTGTGTGTAACTCACTTGGTGGTGAATGGCGGGGTGTTTGTGTGTGTAACTCACCTGGTGGTGAATGGCGGGGTGTTTGTGTGGGTAACTCACTTGGTGGTGAATGGCGGCGTGTTTGTGTGGGTAACTCACCGAGTGGTGAATGGCGGAGTGTTTGTGTGTGTAACTCACTTGGTGGTGAATGGCGGGGTGTTTGTGTGTGTAACTCACTTGGTGGTGAATGGCGGGGTGTTTGTGAGTGTAACTCACTTGGTGGTGAATGGCGGGGTGTTTGTGTGTGTAACTCACTTGGTGGTGAATGGCGGGGTGTTTGTGTGTGTAACTCACTTGGTGGTGAGTGGCGGGGTGTGTGTGTGTGTAACTCACTTGGTGGTGAATGGCGGGGTGTTTGTGAGTGTAACTCACTTGGTGGTGAGTGGCGGGGTGTGTGTGTGTGTAACTCACTTGGTGGTGAATGGCGGGGTGTTTGTGTGTGTAACTCACTTGGTGGTGAATGGCGGGGTGTTTGTGTGTGTAACTCACTTGGCGGTGAATGGCGGGGTGTTTGTGTGTGTAACTCACTTGGCGGTGAATGGCGGGGTGTCTGTGTGTGTAACTCACTTGGTGGTGAATGGCGGGGTGTTTGTGTGTGTAACTCACTTGGCGGTGAATGGCGGGGTGTTTGTGTGTGTAACTCACTTGGTGGTGAATGGCGGGGTGTCTGTGTGTGTAACTCACTTGGCGGTGAATGGCGGGGTGTTTGTGTGTGTAACTCACTTGGTGGTGAATGGCGGGGTGTCTGTGTGTGTAACTCACTTGGCGGTGAATGGCAGGGTGTTTGTGAGTCTAACTCACTTGGTGGTGAATGGCGGG